ACTTGCTTGGGTAAGTACACTTTATGTACACTGTAAGTATATTTACTGTAAATTAAGTGTAACCAATAATTCTGTACACTACTGGAAAAATAGAAATAAAATAACTTTAGAACTTTAGAATAGAAATAAAAATATTTGTTGTTTAAATCAACCAGCACAGTGAGGTATTTCAGCAGTACAAAGTAATGATTTATTGCATTTACGTGATTTATTACAGTATTTAATTTTATTTAATTATTTTTATTAACAACACAAAGTACATATATTATAAATATACAATAAACACACACACACACACACACACACACACACACACACACACATTAAATAATATACATTATTACATATTATATACATTATTATAAACAATATACGTACATAACTGAGAAAAAAATACATAAATGAAAACAAAAAAGCAAAGGCTAACAGTCTTTGTTTTTGAATCATTTCGAAATATTTTTTGGTAAAAAAAAAAAAGTTTTGGTTATTGAATTTGCTTTAGTGAAAATTAAAATGTAAACAGTAACAGTAAAAGATAACAATAAAATACTTTCTTTCAGTTCACTAATAACATTAAAACCAAACACATCTTTAAACAACAAGTCCACAGATGTTCAGTAATACATTTACAAAAATATTTTCAAAATATTTTAGTGCAAAATCATCAGTAATCATTCACATGCCACTTGAGTGAGCAAAAATATTCCATTAAGTCCTCCATCCTCACATCTCATTATTTCCACACCTCAGCTAAGACAGAAGGAAAAGATGAGAGGAAAGGAAAACAGGATTGCACAATCAAACAAATAAGAGGTATGTATATATATATATATATATATATATCCTTGTAATCAAATGGGTATACTTTATTTTGATTTGAAATTTTACACATTCTGTTACTTTGTAACTTTGAAACTACATGTCAGCTAACTAGTATTAGTATTAGTAGAGTGTTAAGTTTTGGTCAGGGTTAGTAGAATAAGTTGGCATGTACTTGCAAAGTTACTTACGTTTACATTTACATTTAGTCATTTAGCAGACGCTTTTATCCAAAGCAACTTACAAATGAGGACAATAAAAGCAGTCAAAACTAACAAAATATCAACAATATATAAGTGCAAATGACAAGTCTAGGTTAGCCTAACGCAATGCATTCTTTTCGGCTCATTAAAGATTAATCTTGCAGCTACATTTTGGATTAATTGTAGAGGTTTGATAGAAGTGGCTGGAAGACCTGCCAAGAGAGCATTGCAATAGTCCAGCC